GGGCAGGGAGGTAGGACAGACGCCGAGTGACGACCAGTCCTGCCCCATCCTCCTGCCGGGGGAGAGCAGGGGCCTCAAAGGGCACTGGTGTGCGGGACGGAAAGGGCCTGGGCCAGCCGCCCCCTCTCAAGGCCCGTTGTGCATTTTTCTAACGAGGGTCGAGGGTCGTGGCTGATGGATGTTTAAGAACGTCTGCGGAGGTCGTGCTGTTGATGGGAGGGGCTCGGGCCGTTTTCATTATCTCCCGGGGCTGCGTGTTTGTTTGCAGTGAAGCGTGGTCACCTTCGATCTGAGCCCCTTTGAAATCCTGAGACACTCAATTAAAGGGGGGCGGCGCTCGCAGATGCGGGTGTGGCTATTCCCCACCTGTGCCAGCAGCTCCGACTGTGACCCGTTGTGATATCCGCAGACTCCCGACGGCCCCCATTCATCAGATCTCGCAAGCAGCTCCTGACAATCATGGAGGTCTGGGAGGGACCCCCAGTGGGCACGAGGACGCGTGGAGATGGGGCTGCCTGGGCCCCTGCCCGATCTGGGCTGTCCATCTTCAAGTGCGGCTACCCCGGACATGTGTCGCCTGTTGTGGGGGCCCAACTGGGTTGTCACAGCTGCTTTCCCCGCCTGAGGGACAAACAGGCAGAAAGGAAGACGGTATTTGCAGGAATGTGTCTGTGTGACTGGTGATGATCCTGGTGAATATTTCTCATGAAAGGACTGTTCTTGTCATTCGGACTCTGCTGTCCTCAGAGGTGCAGTGCAGGGCCTGTCCTCCAGACGTCATGGCCACGGCCTCGGCCACCCTGGTGGAGGTGGTGGCTTCAGGGAGGATGGAGTGGGGGGCTCCATCAGTTCCCCCATCTGTGGAGAGAGGCTGGCACCCTCCTCAGCTTCCCTGAGCTGCCCCCGGCAGATCTTACTCCTACAACACTAGGGTCCTAACGCTTCCCACGACCCAGCAACAGTGGGCTGCATTCTCAGGGACCCTCTGCCTGGCCAGGGAAGGGGCTGCCACCCAGGGTTGGGGCAGAAACCTCTCTGCCCTTGCCCGGCTGGGGGACTACAGCACCCGTTTAGACACAGCCAGCCCTCCCTGCGGGGAGAGTGGTCTGGGCCAGGGGTGGGTGGTCCAGCCTGGACCTAGGCGGGTGGGGGACCTGTTCCTAGCAGAGGGGCCTGTCACTGGGGGCACCTCTCTCCCGGTGCTCAGCCTGCTGTCCGGGTGGGCGCTCTCACAGGGCCTCTGACCAACAAGGCCTTGGGCCTCGTGAGCTCCCTCCTCAGCTCTTTTGGAGACGGGGCTTCCCCGTGGTGACACCTGGATCCCAGACGTCTGTTCTCCAGGACTGTGGTCTGAAGCCACCTAGTTTGTATCCTTTGTTCTGGCCGCCCTGGACACTAACACAGGCTCCAGACCTGGATTTGCAGCATGGCCTCACAGCTTAGCTGAATGACCTTGAGCGGGTTCTGGAACCCCTCCGAGCCTCAGCCCCTCGTCTGTAAGGTGAGGGTGGTGATGGCACCCCCAGGGTTGTCAAAATAGAATTAACGCAGGGGAAGGTGCCCCCTGCCCCTGGCCCTGACTACCAGACCTGTGCTCATCGCTGCCCTCATGCCACTCCTTCATTGCCTCTCCTGGGGTCTGCTGGTCGCCCTGGGATTCGGGGGTGGGAGTGTCTGGCAGCCATCACAGGCCACGAGGATGGGGCCAGTGTCCACCGTGTCCTGGGACAACTGCAGAGGGAAAGACACAGTGTCTAGAGGGGCCCGTCCCCGAGGGCTGGCACTTGGGGTGGTATTTGGCGGGCAGCAGGCAGCTGGGAATGGGAGAGCAGGTGCCAAGACTTTGATTTATGGTTTCAGTCTTTTTTCTTTGCAAAGGGCATGCATGTCTCGGGAAGCCTGCCGCTGGCACATACAGCACAGCCTTCTCGGAGCCGAGTGTTTGCACAGCCCAGGGCCCTGGAGTGGGCGGCCAGGTTCCAGGTACCGGCAGGGTTTCTCTGCGACCTGTACCAACAGCTTAGGGGACATCACCCTCACGCCCAGCGGCTCACCCATCCCAGGTGTGTGGCCCGAGACGAGGAAGCCAGCTGTCCCAGGTGGACGGGTCTCTAGCAGGGCCTGGTGCTGCCACGCTCGGGACTTAGTGGAGTGTCTCCCGTGTTTGCACGAGGGTCCCGCCCTGACCGCGTGCACACCTTGCACCCTTCGGGAGACGGCTCCAGAGCCCCAGCCCTCTCCATCTGGTGCCAGGGGGCTGCTTCCTGGACGGGCCTGGGGCCGGGGCCTGCTCTGGGTGGGGGTGGTCGTGACCCAGCTCTGGGGCCAGAAGAGGGCTCCTTCTTGCATTCCCCAAGTCCAGCTCCTGGATGTGGCCAGGGAGTATCCCTGAGCCTTGGGGTGACGTCACAAGACAGAGGTCCAGCCCAATGACCACCTGTGGCCAGAGCGAGTGTGCGGTCCAGTGTGCTGGGGTCACTGTGGGTGTTTCCTTCCTGGTTGTTGGAATCTGGCCACTTTGGACAGAGGAGGAAGATGGGCGGTTCCCCCTTCCCCACCTCCCAGCCAGGTCGCTCGGCAGTGGGGTCATTGCTCTCAGACCACGAACGTCGCTGTGCTGAGCTGAGAGCAGCCGCCGGCAGCAGCAAGTGTCCTCTTTTCTGAGCCTTCCTCAGCACCTCTGCCCCAGGGACTGTTCTGGGTCGCCAGGAGCCCGGCAGTGGGCTCGGCACCTGGACCAGCAGTGTGCCCCAGCCTCAGTGACACCACAGAGAGGGGCTGTCACCCATGTCTGAACTGTCCCGTGGCCAGCAGCCTCGTGTTGGAAAGTCTGGGGAGGTCGGTGCCCTTCCCCACCCAGGCTCCCCCGTGCCCCCAGCTGGGGCCAGGCTCGTCCTCCACAGGCTCAAGCTCCCCCGACTTGCCCACCAGGCCCCGCCTCTGTCTCCCTCAAGGGCACTGGGTGGGTCCTGGGGCCTTCTGGCCATCCAGCTGGGCAGGCAAGTTGCAGACAGGGCTGGCCCGGGCATGTGACCACCCCCTGCACTGGGCCAGCATCGGGGGGACCGGGGGCTGGCAGCCGAGCCAGTGAGATGTGTGGGTTTGTCTGTGCAGACCCATCTCCTGGATTTTATCAGCTGTAAACGGGAGACGGCTTTGATTCTTATTTTACGTGATAGTAAGATATTCCTGAACGTAACTTCTTTTCATTTAACTTTTATTTGTATCAGTGTTATATATGTTCACATTTTTAAAGCCCGCTAGTAACACAAAGTATATAATGAAAGAATTTATCTCCATGTTCCTAAGAGACACACTATCCTGCTGTTTCTTGTTTCATGATTTTTCAATTTAGGCATTATTTACAGACTTTTTTTCTATGGAAAGTGAAGATTTTGCAATCTTACAATCCCCTACTCCCCTACCACACATGCACACAAACAGTTTTTGGCTAAATCAAGATCCAGTGTTTATATTAAAAATTGCAGCTTATCCATGTGGATAATTATGAATATATTTTGTTTTTGTTCAACTGTTCTCTGCAGGGTTAAATTTGCCTCGTTTTTTAGCTGCTTAGTTTTTATATCTTATCACTTATTTGTCCCCAGCTCTCTAAGAGAGATTGAAATCTCTCGGTGCCTCCGGACACGTTAGGTATTTTTTTCAGTTTACGATCACAGTGTGAACGAACTTCCTCCAAACGTAGTGGCCTAGTGGCTTAAAACAAGGCTAGTTTGCCATTTCTCGTGAGTCTGTGTGCTCCAGGGCAGCGGCATTGGCCGGGCTGAGCGTCTCACGCAGCTCCTCGCCTGCTGAGGCCTTGGCTAGGGCGGCCGGGACAAGCGGGGTGCATACACACACACATTCTCTCTCTCACACACACCCCTCCACGCGGCTGGCTGGGCTTCCTTCTGGCTTGGTGGTCTCAGGACGGTGGGATTTCATCACGGCAGCTTATGGCTTCCAAGGGTGCAAGTAGAAGCCGCCACTGTCTTATGATCTGGGCCAGGACCCAGCACAGCATCGCTTCCCCCTCTTGTGTTGGTGGAGTGGGTCACGGTGGGGGACACCTCCCCTCCTGGCCGAAGGAGCAGCAGGACTTGTGGCCACAGGGCTCTGGGCTCCTCCTGTTCTTGGAGCCCCTCGTCCTCTCCCTTCCCTGTTACCCGGGATCTCCCTGCCTGCCCCTCTTTCCTGTTTCCTGGGCTCCTGGCTCCCTCCCTCTGAGAGCCTCTTGTGATGTCTCCTTCCTTGCCCCTTGAGAATTCTGGTGGTGAACACTATTCCCCTTGTTCGTTGGATTCCGGCAATCAGATGGGAGGTGGGAACACTTCGAGAAACAGGGCTGAGGCCTGGGCTTCCCAATAACCTGGGAAAGGATTTTCTTTTCCAGGGTCTGTCCCACTGGCTGCTGGGGGATCCCCCACACCAGGAGGGTACTCCTTGGGGGGTGTTCTGGGCTGGGGGGCCGTGTCTCCCTAGGGTGTCAGTCACACCCCCCTGATGGTTACACACTGGGGTCATTCTGGCCGTGAGCTCAGGGCATGTGCACAGCCATTAGCTCCCCCAGCCCCCCAGCCATGAGCAGCTGGAAGGATCCAGAACAGTAGGCCCCCCTTCAGCACCCCTGTGTGCCTGGCCTAAGGCTTTGGGGCTTCAGGGCAAGCCCCGTGGTCTGGGACCTCAAGCCATCAAGGATCCTGCGCCTTCCGCCGGGCAGTGAGGGCCCCTGGTAGGTGGGATGGGTGCAGGGGGTGGGGGGGGTCAGGGGGCTCTGTGCCAGGAGAGGTGCAGCAGGCCCCACATGGCCCGGCTGTGGGCACCAAGGGAGGGGGGACTCCCTGGATGGCAAGGGCCAGTGGGACCTGGGGGCCACAGAGCCTGAGGGAGATGGCTCAAAAGACCCCCTGCGGGCACTCTGCCTGGTGCTTGGACCTCAAGGGGCCTGTCCCCAGCGCTCAACCTCGTGGTAACCTCTGCCCCTTTTTGCTTCCCTGAAGGTCACCAAAGATGAGGTCACGGCTGTTCTCCTGGAGCTTCCAACTTTGGGGTGTCCTCCATGCCCCCTGTTCCGTCCGAAGGACCCTGAGTGACTGCGGTGGTCAGCCTGGTTCGAGGCCCCCCTGGAGAGGAACAGGTGTATCCGGCCATGAGGACAGAACCCCCAGGAGCACAGCAGTTCCTCTCAGCTGAATGTATTTATTCCGTGACTCAGAATTTAGCTTTTCTGGTTTGTGAAGTACCAGGAGCCCAGCAACACGCATGCTGCTGCTGCCTTGCGTGCTGGGGGCGGAGGCGGCTGGCCTGGGGCCGGGGCACCATTGGGGAGCGTCTGGTGTCCTGGGAACAGCCGGTGCTTGGTGTCAGCTCAGGGCCACCCTGCAGGCTTCAGAGAAACCAAATTGCACGAGTGGGGCTCTTCCTTCCAAGCCCTGGGGCGGGGGTCTCTGTGCACTTGAGATGGGGAACCCACCCTCACCTCCCCCCACGTTCATCCCAGAGCTAACGTCCCCCGGATGCCCAGCACCTGGCCTTAAGGCCACCTTTCCCTGAGCTGCTAGGAGTTACCTGTACCATGTGGACGTGATGGGGGACCCTCACTTTGAAAACAGACTTAAACATTAAAGGAAAAAACCCTTGCTCTGTGGTTTGTAAGACTGTGTTCCTTTTCCCTTTTTGTTGCTTCAAAGACCGAAAAGAAAAAAGAAAGAAAAAGAAAATGAGTCTGCTCTTTCCTTGTTGAAAAGTGAGATAATCAAGAGCGTCTGTGTCGGAGCTGCACCTGCGCACCCGCATGTGCGTCTGTGCTCCCGCGTGCGCGTCTGTGCTCCCGCGGGCAGCGAGCCGTGGGCCCTGGTGAAGGACGCCCCCAGTGAATATCGGGGCAGCTTTGAAAGGTGTGTCTCCTTCCCCGGGAGACGCAGGCGCTGCTGCTGTCTAGGGGGTGGGGGCGGAGCAGTGGTCCCAACCCCCCCAGCCCCCCAGCCTCCCTCACGACTTCCCTGGGTGGGGCTTCGTCTCCGAAAACGGGACAGTCTTGCTCTCTCCTCCCAGTGAGACCCAGCATCGCCCGTTTCCTGGTTTGCTCACTCGGAGCCGAGGGACATCCCAGAGTGGATAGTGGTGCCTTTGCCTGTTTCTGGTTTTACTAGAACATTCTGTGTTGTAGGGCACCACACCCCCAGCCGGGACTGCTCCTGGCCAGGCCAAGAGTGTGTGCATTGGCGTAGGGGGGCGCCTCCAGGTCCTCTCTAGGACGGAAGAGAGGGTGGGACTCCCCTCCCTCAGGCTGGGCCTGGCTCCTGGGGGGTGTGGGTGGGGGAAGGACAGCGGTTTTCAAACCTTTGTAGCAGCAGAGCCCTTTCCTCAAACAGGACGGTCCTTAACAGAATAAAACCCCCAGGAGGAGATGTTCCTGTCCAGGCCCTTCGACTCTGAGAACCCCCAGGGTCCACAGATGGGAGGGGGGACCTTGCATGAGTCCAGGAGAGCAAAGAGGGGGTGCTTTGGAGGAAGGAGAGACAGTGCTATCCCTCCCTCCTCTCTCCTCCCCCCAGAGCCCCTTCCTGCCCCCGCCCCATGGGTCCCGCAGAGCCAAGGCCCCAGCCTCGGGCAGGGCAGCCTGGCCTCTCTGTGCAGGCCGAAGGAGCCATCCAGATTCGCTGAGCTCACAGTTCCCAGATGCTGTCCCCTCTCTCAGATCCCAGCTGTGAGGCCTCTGCCCTGGATAGCCCCCTTGAGCTATCCCCACCTTGGGGAGAGATGTGGCTGCTCTGGGGTGAAGCCTGGATTGGAGAGCAGTGCCCAGGAGAGCAACAGAGCGTTCTTCATAAGCTAAGCATTGCTCAACGGAGTGATCAGGACTCAGTCCCCCTGAGATGGACAGCCACGTGCAGCCCTGGCCAGGGCACTTCCACTCCTGCCTGCCCGGCCCAAGGCTCTCAACGCAGCCCCTGCTGGTCAGAGTGACAAGACCAGCCCCTAGGCCAGGCTCAAGGATGGCCACCAGTGTGTGGGGATTGGATCCAGGCGTTCTCGCCCGGAGCTCCAGGGCCTGGTGAGGGCCCCTGCGGGAGACGAGCAGACCCTGTCCTGGGAGTTGCCCCTGGACCATCCCAGGTCAGTGCCCTCTTAAAAGCTGGCTGGGATCCAGCAGGCTGTAGCCTGGCCGTGAGATGACCCTCAGGCCCATGGGCTCCCCGGTCCCTTGGCCATCCTGTCCCTGATGACCCAATGCTCCCTAGTCCTGCTCGGGGCGCTCCCCCACTCTGGGCTTGGGGCCTCCATGATGCCCTCACCTGCTTAGTGCCCCTCCAGCCACCCGCTGGCTCAGACGCCCAGGATGGGCGCACCTCCCAGGGCTATCCTCGCTGACACCCTCAGGAGGACGGCGGGGCCCGAGGGGCTGGACGAGAACCGGGTGCTGGCTGTTCTGCGGAGCTGCCTCAGCTCTCCCCTGACCCCCACCCCAGCTGGGGCACTGGCCAGGGTATGCAGGGACAGACAGCAGTTCTAATTAAGGGGAAGGCACGTTTGTTTCTTTTTAAGGCTTTGTGACTGTTTCTTTAAGTAGGAAATTAATCACGTTTTCTCGTCAGTTTGATTTCATGGTGGCTCACAGGCTGGCTGTGTGACAGGCCCTCCTCCTGGGGGCTGGGAGGCAGGACCCACATGCAGCATTGGTCCCTCAAACCTGGGCAGATGGCCAGCCCCTGGCAACATCCCGGTGCCCTGGTGACGTCCCCGGTGACGTCAGCACTCTGCTTCTCCCCGCTCCGGGGCCACCCCCCTAGAGGCTGCAGGAGGTGGGTGGGCTTCCTGGGGGAGGCCCCCTCTCTGGGCACTGGTTGGAAAAGGCTCGGTGGAGGAGGAAGGCCCACGACAGCTTGAAGCTGCCAGGACGGCGCAAGCATGGCCCCGGTTGGGGGGGCCTCTTCAATGCTCCTCTGGCCCCTCACTCTCACCTTGGGGAAACCACCTGGCCATGGTGAGGGAGCGCAGAGACCCTGCCTTCAGGCCCAGTTGGGGCTGACCTGGTCACCCCGGGGCATGGGGCTCAGCCGCATGTGATGGGACGAACCTGGCCCTGGCAGTCAGGCCCTGGATGCCATCCCTGTCTGAGCCTGGCAGACACACGTCCCAGCCCTGGGCGCCTCTGGCCCGTTCACCTGGTTGCTGGCGTCTCCCCAGTTCCAGCTCTGCCCTGACCCCTCCCAGCTGCAGTGCTTATGCAGGGCCTCACCCTGGGCTTCATGGGCTCGGGGTCTGTGGCCCGGCCAGACAGGCAGTATGAGGCTGAACAGGGGCCTGGACCCTGAAGAGGCCTGGGCCTCATGGCAGGGGCAGGGCAGAGGTGGTGGGGTGGGACACTCAGCCCCAGGGTGGCTGGCTTCTGCTCCCCCTCAGGCCCTGAGCCCTGTAGCCCACTCGGCCTCCCGGTCTCTGCTCTGCCATCAAGCACACAGTGCAGGAATCGGCCCAGCATGCCTCCTGGCGGGCTGCCCCTGGGGCGGTGGGGTGGGGCAGGGCAGAGCAAGCATGCAGGGGGTCCTCTCAGTGCGCCAGCTCTCCATCACACGTTGGGCCTGCAAATCACCGCGAGTGCCCAGCTTCTCCAGCTGGGGAGACTGAGGCCTGGAGGGCGTCGTGCTGGTTCCCAGTCCCATCTGCTGGGTTTAAGGGCCCCGAGCCCTGGACACTCCGGATCCTGCCAGAGCGGGTGCAGCACCTCTGCCAGGCCAAGAGCCCTGTTGGTACCTTCACTTTTCTGCAAGGTTTCTTTTTCTCCAATTAAAAATAACCCCCTGTTGGTGGTAGAAAATTGGTAAAATGACAGCAGAAAAGAAAGTAACCTTCGCCCACAGTCTCCCGCCCCCGTGGGCCTTCCGGGATGGTGTTTCTGGGCACTAGTGGATGTTCGCTCTGCATTCCTGGCCTCGTGACACCTGGGAAGTGCTGCCCGACTCACCTTCCCTGGCCTTCCCGTGTCCTGGGGCTCCCATCCTGCCCTCTCCCTGCCAAGGGCATCTCAACCCTCCTGGACACTGCGGGAGGAGCTGTCAGCCAGTCTGGGGCTCGGCTGGAGGCAGCCTCTGCTGGGCCCTGTCCCCTCAGGCACCCACACTCTCCCGCAGGGAAGGGAGCCAGTCTCTGCCTCTGGCCCCCACCAGGCTGAGTAAGGAATGGATGTGGAGGAGGCGAGAACCTGCCTTGCTAGCCTGCGAGTTGCCATTGTCTGCTGGGGAGGGTTAAGCAGCTTGTGCCTCTCCAGCACCCCCAGAAACCCCAGGAAGCTTCTAACTCATCAGTGCCCAGCCGGAAGACCGGGGCCGGGGATGGGGTGGGCTGCCTGCTGCTCTGAGCAGACTGACTTCCTTTTCCGCCTCGCCCAGCTTCCCGGCTGCTGACGCCCCTCTCTGGGGTTGGAGGCATGTCAGCGGCTCCCCCTGTGTGGCCTTGCTGAGCCCTGGGTCCAGTCAGTGATGTGTCCCCAGGGCCTGCCTCCCTTCCTGGCCCGCCCATGGAGGCTTCCCCAGCAGCACCCTGGCCCTGAGGATGCCAGGGTTGGCCTTTCACCTTGGAGAAGGGAGTGAGAGGCCCCAAGTCCTGTCATAAGGCAGCCACACCCTTGACCCCATGCTTTTAGGGACTGGCTGGGCGTTGCTGACCATGCGAGGGAGGTGGGGCCATGGGGGTCCTCTCCTTCCTGGATGTGGCCGAGGGCAGGGGCCCAGGGACCTGGAGCCTGGAGGTGGGGCCCGAAGAGCCCCTTGCGGGGACGGGGATCAGTGTCCTCCTTCTGCAGGGGAGGGAACTGAGGCTGAAGCCTGAGCAAGTTGAGAGTGGCCCTCCATGGGGGCCAGAGATGAGGATGGAGTCTTGGGCAGCTCAGGCAGCCACAACAAAGAACCACAGACTGGAGGGCTTAACAGCGTGGATTTCCCACAGTCCAGAGGCTGCCAGTCCAAGGCCAAGGTGCCGGCGGACCCCGGTCTGGTGAGGCCGCTTCCTGGCTCACAGACGCGCCTTCCGCATGGTGGAGATGGAGAGAGGGAGAGCAAGTCGGGTATCTTCTCATAAGGACACCAACCCCATGGTGGTGGCCCTCCCTCATGACCTCCTTAACTAAGGCCTGTCTCCAAATAGCATCACACTGGGGGTTAGGCTTCAACACGTGGATTTTCGGGGCACACAAACATCCGGTCCACAGCAGGGAGGGTGTGGACATGAGGGCATCCCGGACAGGGCTTGCGAGCCGGGCCTCGGAAACAGCTAGGAAGGCAGGAGGAGGAAGGGTACTGTGGGTGTGGGCACGGTGAGTGCCGGGGGCTGGAGGCATGGAGCAGAGCTGGACCCAACCCGCTGGACACTGGGGAGGGGTGAGTGGGGGGGTGTCCAGGATGAAGGCCTGCGGAAGGTGGCAGGGCTCATGGATAGGTGTGGGCAGCATGGGGGCAGCAGGGCAGGCCGGGGGTTTCAGGGAGCACGGTGGGGAGAGCCTGAACCCCTCGGTGGTGGGAGTGGCTGCAGACTACCCCGGGGAAGGGTCGGGGGCTGGATGCAGGATGGAGGCTGGCTGCCCGGGGCTGCCTGCATCCTGCACTGGGCCTGGGCCAGTGGGAAGGGACTGTCCCCCACAAGGAGGAGGGCTTAGAGGACTGCCAGGTGCAGGCACAACTGGAGCCTGTTTTGG